GCACACACACTCACCATGCACACACACTCGCCGCACACACACACACCACTCACACACACTCACCACGCGTGCATACACACACACACATACTCACACACACACACTCCCTGAGCAAACTGCTGAGCCCTCATTCACCTTCCCAGATGCAGCTGAGAGAATACAGTCAGACAAAGAGAACATTAGACCTCATTCCTGCCCAGGGTCAGTGCTGTACTGAGACGTTTGACGACTGTGACGAGACACTAGCCTTTCCTACGGCACTGTGGACGTGCTTTGCTGATACTGCTGCCTGCTCCCCCTACTCCAAATCCCTCCCTCACGCCCCCCGACAGGAAGCTCCTCCGGCTGGAGGGGCTCCCCCAGAATCTCCATGCAGGCTCTGGACCCCCTTGCTCTGGTGGAGGAGGGCAGTGCATGTGGGCTGCGTGGATGCCCACTGCCCACCGCCCACCCTCCTGAGGAGTGGTCCCCTGAGGGGCTGGTGGCCTTGGGTCTCACTAGCTCCAGGGAAAATAGCTGCTGTTTTCAGCACAAATTTCAGACCGAGGTCACCATTACTTGTCCTCAGATAGCAAGAGAAGGCCGTAACCGTGGGCCCCACACATGCAGCCAAGGGAACGAGGACGAGGGGACACCGCACTCAGGCGTGTCCGTGATCCTTGTCCTGTGTGCTCCTCACGGCTGCCTGGGAGGGAGGGTGGGTTCCACGTGTCCCCACTCTGTAGATGAGAAAAGCTCCCAAGTTCTAGCGAGTGGCTAAGAAGCGCCCCGCCTGCCTCGAGGCCTCCCCACTCCACGGCCACCCTCTCCTCCACACAGGAACTTCCCCCCCAGCAGGACCCAGCCGGGAATGAGGACAGGATTGCCGACCCCAGCCGACTCTCCTCTCTGGACAAGGAGGGCCCTGCATTCCTGGCTTCCTCTTCATTTTAGAGGATAATATGGCTGATTACCTCCAACACGAAACCCGGGGTTCCCCAAGGAAAGAGATTCTCCATGAAAGTTCTTGAAGCAAATGTATCAGGATTGGCTGGGTTTTTCTTTCTTTTCACCTTAAAACACCACTGAGCCACACTCCCCTGTAAGAAGCACATCCAGGCACCTGTCTGGCAGCTGTGGGGTGGGGGTCAGTCAGGGTGGGTGCTCAGCACGCAGCAGGCCATTTCTTTTGTGTTTATATGTGTGTGGTTTTTATTGATTTCAATTTTTAATATTTTACTTAAAATTGTTTAACTGATACATAAAAATATAAAATCATTCATATCTGTGGGGCATCGTGTTAGTCAGTTAAACGTATCTGTCTCCTCAAACATTTATCATTTCTTTACGGTGAAAACATTCCCATCGTTTCTTCTGGTTTTTGGAAAGACGTGGAACATTACCATCATCTTTAGTTGCCTGCCGGGAACTAGCACCCCAGAACTTCCTTGAGCAGATTCTGAAACTAAGACCATAGAAGTAAGAGGACAGGACCAGGATACCAGGGACTTGCAGTGGCCCGGGCTTCTGGTCCACCACAACTTGCCTCCCAGCCATGCTGGTGGGGCTGCCAGGAATGCCCACAGGAAGCTGCTGGGGTGGTGCTCACATCCTGCAAAGCATCAGAAGCCCTGGCCCCATAACAAACTCTGCCATGTGATACCTGGGTGCATTTGTATATGAACATAGTTGTTTAGAAATAAAACTCAGGAAAGATGGTCAGAAAGAGTAGAAACTGCGGAGATTGGTGGTGTCCAGTGGAGTTCCGGGGAACACGTTTGGGAAGGGCTAGGGTGGAGTGGAAGCAGGGTGTCCGAGCAGAGGCTGTCATGCCTACAGGGCAGGAAGGCCCAGGACAGCCCTGACCAGGACCAGAAGAAAGGGGCTCCTCGGGTCAGGTGTGCGTTTTCCAAGGGTCCCAGGGGCGCTCTCAAGGCCAACCTTGCGGGTGAGGCCAGAAGCAGGTGGCAGCAGGGGAACCTTAAAGGACAGCATCTGGGACAATCCAGAATGAGGGAGTGTGGAAATCTAGGGCTGAGGAGGAAGAGGCGACGCTGGGCCTCCCTCGGCTCGCGACTCTCCTCGGGCTTCAGCTCTGTGGCTGTCGCGCTGTGGCTTACACTTGAGAACCTCCAACAGCGCCTCTTCCAGATTTACGACGCTGTAATTCGAAATCTCCCCAGTAATGTAAATCCAACAACCAGGAAATTTACTGTGAAGGAAACTCTTGGCTGCGGAATATGGAGGAGAGTTTGCTTGCCACCAAGAATGGAATGTAAATGCTCTATCGGGTATCCACACCACGGGATTGCAAACATCAACTCTGCGATAATGAGGAGAGGACAGAAGGAGTTTAAAGACATCCAATAGAATGACTAAACTACTTACCCAAAAGCATATGTCATGATTTCCACCATAAGTTATGATACAGAGGAGTCGGTCTGAGAGCACTAAATTTAGGATTGGAAGGGCCCCTCCCCCCTCAGTGTCAGAAGCTTCCATTTAACTACGGGAACAGGAAAATGCTGATCCACGCAGGATTCGCCGTCTCTGGGACTAAGATAGCCACCACGGCGGAACACAAATAGCTGCCGGGACCACCCATCAGCAAGAGTGGGGTCCCAACTGTGGCAGGGTCCTGGGGTCCCAAGGGAGGAAAGGGTGACATAATACACAAGAATACAGGTGAACTTGACGGGCTTTTTAAGGATCCAATGCCTGGGTACCTGTGGCTTGTTGGAGACGGGGTCTCACCACCGAGGCCATCAGATGAGGGCCAATCTGAAGGGATCAGTGATCCAGGTGAGGACAGGAGGAACCGGGGCAGGAAAAGTAAAGAGTCCCAGGGTGGGGAGCAAGAGCAAGAGCAGAGCTCAAGGGACCAGAAGAGCAGAGCCGGGCCGAGGGACAGGCTGAGGGCCAGCGAGAGGGCAGACCAGGTTGGACGAGGCTCCCTCGGGTCAAGGACGATGTCCCTGAGCTCCTGCCACGGAGCTGTGGTTACTCGTGAGTCGACACAGTCCACTGGGTGATGGTCACTGAGCAGCCAGCGTGCACACACAAGGGAACCAGAGCTGCCATCGTACCAGCCTCCATGGAGGACACGCTGGGCCTCCACTGGCCCACACTGGGCTGGTTCTCAGCATCTCCCTGAAAATCATGAGAACTAAAACGTCCCAGCAGGCAGGGTGGACGATTATAGCTCCTCTGCCACTTCTGTTCTCAAGGGCAATTATTGGTTGAAATAGCAGGCAGCGTCTTGGCTTTGTTGTTGTGCACACAGGCTTGTGGCAACCAAGGCCACCTGTGTCCCTCAGTCAAAGCACACGCCTTTTGCTTGGGAATAGTGACACTAGAAGGGTGAATGACGATCCTGCTCACTGGGCCACAACACCCAGGCCGTGACACGTCCACCCAGGTGCCAGCCAAGTGGCTGCAGTGTGCTCAACATTGTACAAGGTCCACGGGGAAATAAATGCCACTCTGGGTGTCTACGAGCCCAATGCTGGTGACAAGAAGAGCCAGAAATCTGCAACACGATATGGGGACTTAACGGCCTGACTGTGTGAGAAGGACACTGGCCGTTCATAAGCAAGGGGGCAGCAAAAGGAAATGGGGTTTTAACAAGATGGCAAGTTTTACCTTGACCTTGTCACAGGCTGAGAGAGGAGCCCAGTGCCCCAGGCGAATCGGCAAGACTTAAGGAAAAGAGCAGCCTCACTGTCAAATGCCACCATCCTGTGAAGATGGGCAATGGGTATCAAAGTGTTTAATAGTCACACTTTTAACCAAGTCATAACTAACCTTGGGGTCATCCTCACCACAATAGACAAGGGTTCAAAGATGCCTGCGATGGTGTTTTATGAAATAGCAAAAAAGTCTAAATAAGTTAAATGGGAAAGGAAGAAATTATGGAAAATAAGTTAAACGGGAACTTCTTGGCTAAGGAAATTTTGTTCTAACCTGCTGAAAAGTGATAATGTGCTTCCCCTTCACTGACACAGAAAGATGGTCTGGTGTGAAGGAAAAGTGGCTTACAGCTTGGTACACGCAGTGTAGGCGTCTGTATCTGTTCAGGGGGCTGCATTTCCACTCCGGCCATCCCCACAGGTGTAGTCCTGGGCCTAGGCTGTTCCCCAAATGTAGCGGTGATTTCCTGGGTATGAAGAGATGAAAGAAATAGGTTGTCAGACTTACCATTTTCAGCATTTTTTGAATTTTTAAAATAATGAACATGTTTTATTTTCGCAATCAACAAACTAAGACTGCTAAACAGTAAAATGATAATGGCCAATGCTTTCACGGTTATTCATGTTAGGAACCCCCAGGTAATTACGAAAACCTCAAAGACATTGAAGAAAGCTTTTCAGTAGAGCTGGCCATTATTCTTAATAGCTCCAAAGTCACTTTTTAATGTGGGTTGGTTCAAGTTCTCTATGTATCGGTGTGGTTCTCAAAGGCACTGAGTTATACCCTGTATCCCAGGTGACACAAAATGTTTTCAGCCCAAAATAGATGAGGTTATAAACCCATCAAAAGTGATGACCTTCAGAAGACACGAAAGGCACCCAAAAAAGTAAGACCGAGAGACATGTGGAAAATCTATGTCGTTTTTTGGAAACCAAATGACTACAAAAATATCAACTCGAAAAAGCATCCCAAAAAAAAGCTTCAACGGGAGAAAATAGAGAGCAAAATTTTGGCATATGTATGTCAAAAATCCAGTGTCAAAGAGGTTTTGGAAACCAGTCGTGCATCACCAAGTATATTTATCCAAGATCCGTGTGCCAGACGCTCATCGCCAGGAGCAATGGGAAATTTCTGATGCCCTAAAAATCTCTTTTCAGTGACTTCCTGATAACACAGCGATAATGTGGGGATTTATTTATTTATTGGATCACTGGTGACCAAAGCTGACCTCGGGGGAAGAAGGGAGAAGGATACAGCTGTCCCTGACCCCTTGTCTCAATGCCCATCTAAGACCTAGTATCCATGTAATTGTCTTTTCTTCTCATCTCCAGGAAAAGCACAAACAAGAAATGACAGCGATGGCCAAGTTGACAGAATCCATGAGTGAGTAACCTCAAATTCATTACTGGTTTTGATTCTGGTAGAAAAGCCCAAAGACCACACCCCTCTGGGATGGTCCCATCGGTCCTGGTCGCCCACTCTTGCTCAGGCCGAGCTGTTTATCATGGCACAGCGCACCGTGCCATGAGTGTGTCTTTAGGTATTATTCAGAATTCATCTTGCTTGGGGTCAAATTTCTGTGCTGAAGCTGTTACCCAAACTACAGAGCTAAATAATGAAAATGGATTTTATCTGTAGCAGTGCACTGGGGATTGGGACCCAAGGTAATTTCAACCTGAATTTCAGGAGGTTTTAATGTAAGTCAGCTGAAGTTTAATGTGTGGCTTTCCTGTGGGGCCGGCTGATCTAAAAAGAGGTGGAATGACGGATCATTGCTAAATCTTTTCAGTGTAGTTCAGAAATTTCAGACAGAACTACTTTATAATGGAGTGCTTGGGGTGTCGCTGGCTTGTAATGATTTAAGTTTTGAGTATATCTGCATCATAACGCTCTAAGCTCTTAAGCTAAATAAACAGAATACACAAAGCATTTTTAATAGGAAAGGGGGGGATTAATTATAATGAATCATCCTGCAAATGAGAAATGCAATTTCCTCTGTGGAAGTTTAAATATTAAAGGCTCATGCTTATTGTTTCCTTTGAAAATATATATTGCTTCTGGAGATAAGATTTTTCATGGAAAGTTCCAAGAAGCTTGCACACACTTCTGCATTACCAATAGGGCTATTAGCACCTTATTAAATTTGGCCTGAAAATTTAACCATTAATCTTGCCCCCACTTAACTGGGCACCTTCTTCCTTCTATTACTCCTCAAACCATCAGACTATTAAACACAAGTGTTCCTCTGTAAGCACAGCCGAGAATCCTTACCCCTATATCTTTCCCTCCCCCAGGCAAGATAATGTTAAAAATTGGTTACACTTCTCTAATTCCTGGCCCCAAACCCCTGCCTAAGTCCATGCCAGTCCTGATGGCGTGCTCATGGCACCATGCAGACGATGACTCAGAGGACTAGGTAAGGAGCCGACCCCGGGGATACTCTGTCCCCTCTCTTTAGGCCCACTCTCTGCCCGGTTGTCTCTCCCCCTCCACCTTCGTCTTACACATTGAGAATTGTTGAAAGGATTTGCCACTTAATTTGAAGAACCCCAACCTGGTTGTTGGTAAGTAAAGGTATCTGGAAGTCGTGGAGCGTCCTCCTCAGACCTGGCATGAAATGGGGAGGTTGTCAGGCCCAGCTCGGCCAGAACATCATGTGTCTTAAGACAGCACCAACATGTCCCTGTCCCCAGACATGAGCAGACTCAGTTCTAAGCTCTCATCCAAATGACCAGCGCGCAGGCTCATGGGTTCTCTGAAAGTGCCACGGCTCAGAACCTAGCTGCATTGTCGGTGAACGTGGTCTTGGATATCTGGGTGACGTCAGATAGTGCTGACCATGTGTCCCGGGACTGAAAGCGTTCACAGGCTTCCGTTAGAAGTTGATATCCTAGTGTAGTTACTCACCCCGTTGGATTGTAAAACGCGGTGGGCGCTGAAGTGGTCAGTATATCTGACAAAGGTGTTTTTATTTTTCTTCCTCTATGGTATTTTTGGATTCCAGATGCATTTTAGTAAGAGTTCCTCACTTGAATGTTGCTTAGCCGGATTGAGGTTTCAGGTTTGCTTCAATGAGAATCCTTATGACTTTGGTCCAGGAATCCACTGTCTTAGGAAAACTCAGTCAAGATTAAATTTCAGACCTTCTGGTAGATGAAAGGGACCAGACATTCTTCTAAGTTGCTTTGTCTTTAATAAAAAGGTCATATAGATATATTCATTGTATAAGAAATTTAAAGTCTGATTGCACACCTTGGGGTTATACCCAGCACTGTGGGTTCACTGATGCTCAGAGACACAGAACCTTTTGTGACTCTCCTAGCTGCTATGAAATGCTCATCATGTGGTCAACCTAACAAACATGTCATGGACATCAAGTTCATGAATAATGAAATGTACAATTGCACATTTATTCTGCGCAGGAAATCTATAAGGAAATAGATACATAATTTTTAAGGAGATTCCATCAGTACACTGAGCAAAGAATGACACACAATTACCCCTCCATAAAGCTGATGGGAACATCAAAGCCATGGCCATCAGAGGAGAAGGACATAAACAGAATCATGAACACCCGGCACACGGTGTTCTGAATGGGCTTCCAGAGCCAGTCAACACTTTGCTTGATAAACTGCCAAGCAAAACCCATCTGGTTACTAGAACATCTCTCTGTTTAACTAGAACTGGTAGTGATTCTTCTCCTGCCACCGTCCCCGACCAAATGCTTTCAGCCGCTAAGCAGATACCACGCCTTCTCCTAGAGCAGGAATGAGGAACATTTCATTCCATCATGTGCCATTAATCAACCACCTCGAAAGTCAACTGCACTCATATTTTCTAAAGGGCAACCAAGAGAGATAAAAATGTTAACAGATGTTTAAATGTCCAATTAAAGGCAACTTTATTAATTTTTCTTTTTTTAAATTTTTATTTGTCATTTTTGGCTTTACATGACGGTAGAATCTGTTTTGATGTATTTGTACATCAAAATATTCTAATTAGAATCCCAGTCTTGTGGATGTACCCAAGATAGAGACACTGGGGTGTATTCATTCACGTGCATAGGAGAGCTATGTCAGATTCATTCCACTGTCTTTCCTATTCTTATCCCCCCTCCCTTCCCTTCATTCCCCTTTGTCTAATCCACAGAAATTTCTATTCTTCCCCTCTCCCTCCCCCTTGTTATGGGTTAGCACCCACATATCAGAGAGAACATTTGACCTTTGGTGTGGGGTATTGGCTTACTTCACTTAGCATGATAGTCTCTAGACTCTCATGCAAAAGTGAAAAAGTCATTCTTCTTTATCATTGAATAATATTCCATTGTGTATATATACCACATTTTCTTTATCTATTCATCTGCTGGAGGGCACCTAGGTTGATTCCATAGCTTAGCGATTGTGAATTGAGCTGCTATAAACATTGATGTGGCCATGTCATCGTAGTATGCTGATTTTAAGTCCTTTGGGTATAGACAGAGGAATAGGAGAGCTGGGTCAAGTAGTGGTTCCATTCCTAGATTTTTTGAGGAGTTTCCAGAGTGGTTGCACCAATTTGCAGTCCCACTGGGAATATATGAGTGGACCCTTTTCCCACATCCTTGCCAACACTTATTGTTAAGGCAACTTTATTTAATATTAATCTTAATATTTTAAGATAATGCTTTAAAATACTTTATGTCCCTTTATTGAAAGGAGAAGGGGTATGATAAAGAAAAAAAACAGAGAGAAAATAGATACGGAGGAAGAATAAAATGGCAAAAACACAAGGAAGAAAAATCAATAGAAAAAAAATAGATGTACATGAAAACAGATCCAGAGATGGCCTGTTGAGGAGAAAAGAGACATGATCGCAAGGAGCAAGGACAAGGCACACAGGCAAGAAGGGAGAGGAGGCAGCAGGGTGCTGGCGGAGAGGATCCCCCAGGCCTGCAATTTGGTCAGCTCACTGTGGCCTGCAATCTCCCAAAGCCTGTGGCAGTTTTCATACTTCCTTTTTAAATTTTCATCTGTTTCCACCCTTGAAATGGATATTTGCACACTTAGACCACCAGAAGCCCTGCTCAGGGGCAGCAGGAATACCCTCATTGGAGGAAGTGCTCAGAGCTCGCGCTCTACCACCCCGCTGCCCACCGACTGAGATCAAACCCAAGCTGATCAGAAGAGGTTCTGGCCCTGCCTATAAATAGACTTGCAGTGACCCAGCCTGTGCCGTCATCTGAGGTGATGCTGGGTGGGTAGGCTTTCTCCTGGGCTGGCAAATCAAAGCCAGACTTTGACAGATGGAGGTGTCAGGGGCCTGCAATAACCCGGGGGCTGGGAACCACATTCAGTACTTTTGCAGACTGTCCTTACATAAAGTTCATAGGTAACTTGCTTCATGGTCATTGCCAGCTGGTGTGACCTCCACCCCCACCTAGAGCTGCAGGAAACATGTCAGAGAGGGCTCAAGAGGTCTCATCACAAGGTTCCAGTGAGAGTGTGTGTTGAAATCGGGTGGCAATCCGTGGCATGGAGATGGAGTTCCAAGGACGGAACGGGACAGAACTCAGCAGCCACAACCTGTGGGCTGCAGGGCTACTCCTGGGGCGCCCACTGTCCCAGAGGATTTGTCTGCCTCCTCTTGGGATTCAGCCGCCCGCCCACCTGCAGCATATCGCTGCCTCTGCAGATTGGAAGCCCTGACCTGCTTGCAGTCTGCTCAGATGCTGGAGGACAGACGTCTTCCTGCCACTTTCTGCTCCACCTTGACAGCCCCTCCCACACATGCGTACCCCATGCTCCTCTTTTCCTAGCCAGAGTGTCCCTTGTGGTCTTCCTCATATCCTGGCCGTCCCCATCTGGACGTCATCACCACAGCACAGCCGCCTGGGTAAGAGTTGACTCGGCTTTCTTGTCCAACAAGCAGCCAAGCAGCTGTGTTGTTCCCAGAGGTCCAGGGGCTGTGTCTTCGTCCAGGCAGGGAGAGGCGAGTAGCCCACGGTTCCTTTCACTGCCCAGAGCCAAGGACCTGCTCTGAGAGGTGTTCAGAGGTCTTGGCTGTCTGCTTTGAAGTAGAGGGAATTCCTTCTGTGATTAAAGAAACAGCTCAAATTTAGCACAAATGTGAAATCTTCTCAAGTCAAATGAAATGAGGAGAGGGAGCCAATTATAATCACCACACATTAAATTAGCTCTTCAGGGCAAAGTGGCGTTTAATCATTTATTCCCTCTTTTTTAGAGCAGCTATTATAACTCTGGAATTGTGTCAGGGCATGCAAGAACAAGAAGGGGGTTTCTTCATGCACCACACGGAGCCTCTTGGGGCAAAGGAGGCGGGGCTCACAACTAGGACCTGGGAAATGAGCTCCTGCACCCTGGATCCAAGGGTTGCACCCAGAATGA